GGAACCCTAAGCCTCTACGACTGTGAAATGATAGTGTGGAAACTATCATATGTGGTACAGCAGCTCAGGGTCAGCCCTAAACACACACAGGTCCTGGCCTCTGCCCAGGGCGCGGAGGTCTGACAAGAACGGTAAGTGTCATGGAGGACAGACCTCAAGCCTGGTCCTGCTCAGATCTTCACATGAACAATTTAATCTACACTCACCATGAAATTAGGAGGCATGTATGATTGCTAGTCTCCCTTTCTTGAGGGGAAAAACAAGCTCAGAGAGGCTGAGTAACCCACCCCTGGTCACCCAGCTAAGAACTGGAGGAGCCAGGACTTGTATCCACATCATCAACCAGTAGAGTCCTGGAAAAAGCCTGGCCCTGCCTGTGAGCTTGACCACCCCTTTGGCTTTTTCCTTTAGGTCAGGGTGGGAGGCGGCATGACTGCAGCATGGAGAAGCAAGGCAGGGAGCCAATGCCCAGGTGTGTGGCAGCTGTGGAAGGTCTCCTCGAGGAGAGCAAGCTCACTCCAGATGGCCTCAAATGCCTCAAGCATTAGTGCAGAAAAGAGGGTCTTCAAAAATTCATGTAAAGTGCATATTATGCATAAATCTTCAGCCTGGAAATAATCTTTTAATTCAACTTGCCCTGAATGCTTTGAAGTCTCCTTGTTTAGCTTAAAGGCAGTGGAAGGATTTTAGAGCTGTGTGGAATGAGGGGCTGGGTATGCTGTGTGCACAGGTTCAGCTTATCTACTCATGTTGAAGGGCATGACTCCAGAAAGAACTAAAGCAAGTGCCCAGCTGAGTCCATTGCCTGGCTTGACCCACACACCTCAGTGCCATCAGTGAGAACAGAATTTGACTCTCTGTTGATTCCTATTTGCCCTATTGCCATCCTCTCACCATGTTCATGGCGAAACACCCTCCAAGATGGATGCAGGCAGGGACCTGCTCCCTTTCCTCCATCCCAGCGACAGATGTTACCTACCCAGCAGAGCTGGTTTGTCTTCCTGGGAAGGCAGGTCCAGCATCCCGCACCCCATCAGCTTGCCCTGTTCCACCCAGCACAGCCTTCCACCATGGTACTGGGGGTAATCAAATAGGCTGCACTTCCAGAAGCCAGAATTGTCATAGGGCCATCCCTTGGAACTCTGCCCACTCCTTGCTGAGTCTGGACAGTGAGTCATGGCAGCCTGTTATCTCCAGCAGCCAAGTGGCTCCTGGCTCCTGGGCTGCTGCCTCCTGCACAGGGAAGCCAGGTAATATTTCCCTGCTCAGTTTAATAAGGTAACCAGTCCTGACACAGTACAGAGGATGCCTCTCTCACCCGAGCTTTCTTCCCCCTCTCCTTTCCTTCTTTCTTCATTATGCTTGTAATTTTGTTTTATTATTTCCCATTGGAAAGCTGTGAAATGAAAATGATGCAATCTACTGCTGTGAAATAATGTCGTGCTCGAGTCCTTTTCCAATAAGCCCTGAGGTTTGCACTGTGACGGCTTCATTAAATTAGCTGGTGCCATGGCAAATGGAAAAGTGCTTGGAGCTTCAGAGTTAGCTAATCCGAGTTGGGCTGCCAGAGACCATTGGGCAGGGGAAGCTCGGATGGTTGACTCTGCAGGGTGCTGGAGAGGAGGCTTCCATTACCTTGAGGGACATTCCAGAGGCCATGCCATCTGTTCAACCTACTAGATCTCCCAAAGAAAATTCACACACCTTCACCATGGCTTCAGGAGCTGTCCATGGTGCGGACTGGATATATTAATGCAAGCTGGTGACCAGCATGTGGAAACAGTGGGAAGCAAGACACTTCACTCCACTGTGGGTGAACCACAGTGGTAGGTGAATACAAGGTGAATGCTCCCCTTGAGGTTAAACTACTGAGGGCTGCAGGATCAAGGTGAACTTGACCTTAAATGCCAACCAGCACCCAAGTTTGCCAGATGCCAGGCAATATGCCTGAAACCTCTGCCAAGGAGATACAAGGACACCCTCTCCTTCCCACCATCTGCTTTATCCCCATTCCCCAGTTTATAAGCACAGGTTCTCTCTTGCCCAGATCCATTATGGCATTAAAGATTTCCGTTACTGATAGCTCTTTCCAGTTAGCATTTTTTCGGTATTAAACCCTGTCATCATCATGTAAAATATGCATGATCCCTAAATCGATGTGTATGGTAACGAGATTTTATTGCTGCAAGTTTGTCTTCTCAGTCTTCTGTTTCTGCCTTAGCTGTCTCTTTAAAACTCCAACGTCTGATAACTAGCCAGGAGGTAATTAGGAAGTGGTGCCATAGAATCACAGGCTTATTCTTGCATTTGTTCACAGAAATTTATTGAGTTTCTATGATATGATATGCTCTCATGGCCAGTGGGAAAGACGATGGTGACAGCTAATTCCAGCACTAAGGAATTTTGTCTGAGCTGACACAGGAAGCCTCGTCCTTTACACACATATAAATATTGAATAAGACAACCTGAAATCACAGCTGTATTTGAAAGGAATGGGGGATGGTTTCCAAATCCCAAACACAAGTGGGCGCTCAAAGCCAGAGCAGGGAGAAAGAACTGAAGCGATTTTTAAAAGTAGTACCACAATTACTGGGGTTTTAATACCTAAGCAGAGGCAGAATTAAAGCTCACAGCTTCATGGGTGGCAGGAACCAGAGATGGGGTCCTCCAGAGAGCTGAGTGCATGGAATGTCTAGCCAAGCCTCATACACCACCTTCTGGGGGAGCAGTGATGCCATAAAAACAACTAAAATTTGAGGTGCGAAAAAAAGCAATTGGTAAAAGGTCGAAACCCAACTTTCTGCTAAGCATGGAGATGGCAGGTCCTCATTCTCATCTCTCAGTGTGAAAATCATCAATGAAAGAATCAATGTAGAAATAGGTTCAATCAATGCAATCTCGAATCCTAGTAGAGCAAATGAAAACAGAGTCATGCCTTCACAACTGGGTCTATGAAATGACCAGAGAGAAACACTTCAACTTAAGTTGAGTTCACACTAAGAAACCACAGAGCAAGGCAGGAAGTAACTGCCCAGAGAGCAAGTCGCAGACTGGACATAGCACAGGCCTGACCACACACACCACACCCAGATTCATTGGGAAGCTCTATTTCTTCCCTACTCTTCCAGCACCATCAACCTCCAACTCTAATCCAGACACCAGACAGCCAGAAGCTCCTGCCTCACCTTCGGTATGCAGGAAGGATTGGTTACAGAACTATTGTTTTCACTCTCCCCACTGCAGATATCCAAGTCTACGGGTGTTCTGGTTCCTTCTATAAAATGGTGCAGGAATTTGCATCATGCAGAGGTTTTAGCCACCACCTGTCATGCCAGAATCCCATATAAGTGCTGGTTTGTGTTCCAGCTGCTTTACTTCGAATCCAGTGCACTGCTACAGTGACTGGGATGGCAACAGATGTTGGCCAAGTCCTTAACATCCCTCTTAGCCATGTGGGAGATCTGGATGGAGTTCCAGGATTCTGGCCTGGCCCTGGCCCAGCCTGACTTTTCTACCATTGTGGAGTGAACTAGCAGATGGAAGATGTCCTTTTGTTTAGGTAAACATTTGATGGTGAATATTCCCATGCCCTTTCTTCTCTGCAGAGCTGGTTTGAACCCTGCACACACAGAGCCCAAGGAACCATCAGCATATCTTCCAATGACAGTTCGATTAAGCTCCTTTCCTTTTCCCAGTAGAGTGAAGCCCTGATGAAAGAGTCCAAACTATAGAAGGCACTGGGACTGAATCAATAAGCATACACAGTCTGCTAGAGGAGATCTCAGGTATGGTCATATTTGGTTCTTAGATTTCTAAGCCTGTAGCAGTTTGTGTCTAGGCATATATGCTGATAAGCTTGAACTATTTCCCACCACTGAAGGGCTTTCTGGATAAAGTAGAGACAGACACCTGCATAGAATACAGAAGTTACAATGGTTCCCAGTAAATCCTGCCTCCTGGAACTTACTCTCTTGTATAAGCCTTTGCCAAGCCTTAGCTGGACCTGGTAACAGTTTCTGCTGAATAGAACCTGGCAAAAGGCTGGCATAACTTATGAGATGTGGTTATCAATGAGCACAGCTTCCCTTTTGCTGATGCGCTTGCCTTCCTGGCTTGCTCTGCTTGGAGAGGTTCTGTGGCAAGGACTGAGAACACCTCTGGCCAAAAACAGCCCGCGAAGAACTACAGCTGTGGGCCACACTGGCTGAATGAGGAAGAGATCAGCTGCAGGTGAACTTTGAGATGCCCATAGCCTCAGCAGCACCTTGAACGCAATGTGGTAAGATGCTCCAAGGCTGAAAGCCCAGCTAGGCTTGACCCATGGAGGCTGTGGGCTAACACCAGTGTTGTTGCTTTAAGCTCCAAAGGGTCAGCCTAATTCATTATATAGCAATAGGCATGGAAGAGACCAAACTTACCTACCTTAGCAGAGAACGGGTGGGCCTAAGTGGTAGACACTGTCACACGTTATAGATGGTTTCTTCTAAGAAATGGCACCCAACTGTAACCAATTCCCAGAGCACATTAGTAAATTGGGGATATCAGACTAAGAAACCCCTCTGCTAACAATGCTGGATATGCGGCCATCCCATAGAGACTGACTAGGGTTGTTCTAACTCAGAAAGGGCTCAGAACCCAGCTGAGGAGGCTACACCTTAAGTGGACTGTCTGCTTCAGGATTTCCACTAAGGAACTCAGAAGCAGCTTTATTGGAAAACCAGACTGATCTGGTCTGACTCTGATATAACTGGGAATGGGGGACCAGAGATGTTATGAACTATCTTGAGATCACCTAGCTAGCTGGTAGCAGCCAGGATAAGAGAACAAGTCTCCGGCCTCCCTGTTCCTCTTCTTTGTCCACCCTGCCACAAGATGCCCACCCCTTGTCCCCAACAATACCAAAATTGGTTAGCTCCAGCCAATGGCAGAACACACAGTGCAAGAGACACCCGGAGACAATTTCTAAAATTAACTTTATTTATTTTGAAAACAACCTCCATTCTAGTCCTGGCCTGATGACAGGGAAGGCTTTTTCTTTTTTGGAAGAAAAGAAGCAGCAAACACTTCCCATTGCATCCGTCTCCAGGGGCCAGGCAGAGGAACACCGGGCCAGGAACATCATGCCCTCCAGAACATGTAGGATTGGTCGCTGAGCCATGCTGGCCTTCAAGCGTTTCCTCCATCCTCCCTGAGACAGTGCACCTGTCCTGAGAGGCTCTGCCTCTGCCTCCCAGTCCAGGGTGTGTGCAGCAGTCATGGGCTGCCCGCAGCCTGTTTTTCCAGTCTGTTCTGGCCTAGGGAAGTACCAACTCCAGAGCCCATATTGGCCTGGGAAAGGAAGTTCAAGAGCTCATCATGTCCCAGTGTTGGCTCATGAGTGAGGACTCACATGGATTGACGACAACGTCTATGCCGGCCTCAGTGCTGTCACCAAACATATCTGTGTCGAGGCAGAGGTGGGATGCTATGTGCTCGATGTGGGAACCTGTCTTGGTCCATTGCTGAGAAGACAGAGGGGAGAGGGTGAGTCGGGCTACTGTAGGTAGGGTCCTGGGCCCCACACATAATGTTATAAATTGCAGCACCACCACAAAGAAGGACATCAATTTGATTTCATGGTCTTGGGTAGGAATAAGAGTACAGCTAACTGCTTGGCTGGCCCCTGTGTTCACAATTATTTAATTGTACTCAAAAGAGTTAAAAGGAAAAATCAATGTTTACTAAAAAAACTTTGAAGTAGCCACTACCTTTGCCATGTCATGGGCCACAAAATGTGAAGCCAGACAATTACAGGAGTATTTGGGGATCCCTCACTCAGCTCTGCAAGGTCATAAACCACAGGAAAGGGCAGGGGAGGAGGGGTGGTAAGGAGATGGCAGAGGCCCAAGCAGAGCCTCACACAGCACTGTTTCCCATGCTTTACCTCCCATGAAAAAGATGGACAGAAAGACAAGCCTAAAGCCACCCTCCCCCAACCAAGGTGCTGGGTTGTATACTTCATGGAGATGGTCTTGGTCAATTGTTCTGAACAGTTGTACCATAGCATCATCATCCACATTTCAGAGGCAGAAAGGAAGGAGATGTTTAGGAACCTGCAATGGGCCACACAATCAGGGAGCCCTAAGATGGGCATCTGACTCTCCATCCCTGACCCCAATTTGTGGCACATGGGATCCTGGGTGCAGCCAGCTCTGTGCTGCAGGACAAACTGGACACGGGCATATCTAGAGTACCAGGAACTTGCGGCCACATTGTCAGTGTCCAGCACCCAGAAGCTGAGTGGGGGTTGGCTCATCCTTCTCTGGGGGTGTGATGACAAGAATGGGGTGAAGGCAGAAGAGTCAGGGACAGTAGGCTAGTGTGGCCAGCTGCTGGCCAGTGGGCCCAACATGGCTGCTGCTGTTGGCATCACACACAAACACATGCAGAGGCAACACTCTCCTCCTGGTACTCACAACCAGGGCCACTGTCTTCTGCACCCTCTTCTTTGAATGGCATTTCCTCTTTGCCTGCACCTGAGACATGCCCCCCCCCCCCCACCACAGGAACCTGGAAAACAGCAGGTGGTCCACACCCCAGGGACCACAGAGTACTCACCTGCTTGTCATCTCCGTTCTTGCAAAGGACAAGGACCACTGGGGCGCCAGGGAACAAAGTGACTACCGACAGGCACAGCTCCTCCTGGATGATCTGCTGTGTGTAGGTGAAGGCCCATATCTAGTGGGAGAGAGTGGGGAGGTGAAGATCTGCACATGGGGAGGGAGCAGGGCAGTGTTTAGTCCAATCCAGGTGTGATGATTAGTATGTCTGGGCGGGAGGTGTTAGGATTAGGGTTATCAGTTTGTCCAAGCCCATGGTCTCCAGTGTGTGTCTGAGGCCAAAGTCTTCACAGGGGTGTGTTCCCCCCACCGGACACAGCAGACAGCTCCCTGGCATGCCCTCTCCACCTGTGTAGAATCTCTCTTTAAAAAAAAAAATATCCCAGTGGGGGGGTTCCTGAAAGTACAAGAGTGCTAACAAGTGGAAGATGGAGAGCTGAGGCAAAGAGGGCCGTGAACAAGCAAATTCTTCCCCGGCATGGCGAGCAGGAAGAGAAGCCACAAAAGCAGGTTGAGAGCCGATTTCTGGTGACACAAGAAGAGGCATGGGGAAGAGGCTGGGACTGCAGGTGCATCCCCCCAGGTGCCAGGGGTGCTAGCACAGCTGCTGCTAATGAGGCCTAAGCACCTCACTTCTCAAGCCAATGTGGGCCCAACAGCTGTCAACCATGAGCCACAGAGAGCTTTGTCCCCAGCTGTGAAGTCAGGGACAGCTGCCCTTGGCCTTTCCTGGGGACCAAAGACAACCTCCCAACCCCCATCCCCAAAATGCAGGAGGGTCTCCTGCTGAGGGCAACCTTTGTCTTCCATTCCTGCAGACCAAGTGGCCTGGCACCTCTGCCCTTAGCCACTTAGTGGCTAGGCAAAGAAAAAGGTCCATCTCCCACAGTGATAGGAGCAAGTGTCCCTCAAACAAGACACGGGTTCACTGCCTCATGTCAGCAGCTTGTGGTCTGTTAAATGCCTTCCACAACTGGTTCTTCTTCCTCCTCGCTCTCCCATGGACTCAGACCCTCTGCTGTTCTCACTGCTTGGCCTACCTGAGCTGGGCTGGCTTCTTGGTCAACAGTCACTGCCCCTCCCCACCTGGAACCCTCTGTTCCCTCCCTCTCACATGGGGCCATCAACCCAGCAGGAGATGCTGACCCAAAGGATGGTTCAGGCAAGAGGACTTGCGTTGCCCTTTTTTAAACTGTTGGTGTTGGGGAGAAGACCCAGGTCATTAACAACTTCCTGGGGGGCATAGAAGCAAATAGAATCAGATCAAGGCTGACAGCGACTCAGTTCCTACAGCTCAGAGATGGGTAAGTGGGTGCTCTTTGCATTCTATATTAAACTCATAGAAATAGTAACATGTCAGGGAAAGCATGCCTTGAGACAAACCCAGCAGTTCTCTGTGAATCATGACTCCACACAAACCATTTGCCTCCCCAGCCGTTACCCATAGAGCTGATGGGGAAGCACTGATGCTGTGCTAACAGTTAACACTTAAATGAGCAGGATCCCCACTTTATAGATGGTGAAGCTGAGGCTCCAACAGGTTATCCAAGGTCAGGTATTAACAGAAGGACCCAGACCAACTTTCTCTAACAGCTCTGCTATTGTGGATGCTGGCAGAGATCTCCCTGCCTCCGGGGCTCTAGCAGAGAAGCAAAGTCACAGAAGAAGGCTGCTCCTGAGATTCCTCTTCAGAGTTGTAAATATTGAAATTATATGTCAGTTTCCTTCATGGGTAGTTTCCAAATACAACAGCACAAATGGAGCCTGTCCATCCCACCAAGCCTCCGTTTGATAGGACCTGGGGTAGGACAGGCCAGTGAGCAGTGTGTCCACTGCGGTGTCTCTTGGGAATTGGGCTAAGAGTGAGAATAGAGGCCCCCGTGCCAATGACTTCACAATGGAGTGTGGGGACACACACAGCAGCAGTGCTGACTTCCAGTCTGGGCCTGTTGCCCTTCACTCCTCACGTGCAGCTTTGTCTGACACTGTGAAACCCCAGCCTACACGCTCAACCTTGGTCACACCCTTCTAAGTGGTTCCCCTGCAATCTGGGAGTGTAGAGCAGAGACTCAGTCCACCCCAATGTGCATGTGTTGGCGGGGCGGGGGACAGAGCCCAGGATGAGACACACACAGAGGTCCTGAATGAGGGCCTAGCTATCTGGGTGTAATGTAGGAAAGAGGCCAGGCCCTGAGAGTGACCCCAGGGTACTCCAAGGTCTGGGAGGAGGAGGAAGAGGATGGTCTCAGCACAAGGCTGCCAGGAAGCCAAACGTCTCGGCCCATGGCATAAAGCAGACCCAAAATACAGACTTTCTCTGCTGACCACACAGCCTGCGGGGAACCACGAATTAGCACTCAGAATGTAAGCAGTCCGTGCCACACCGCAGTGAGTCGTGTTAAGCATGGAGTGAACACAGCTTCTGAAAGCCCATTTTTGTCATTTCTTCTTTTAATGGCCTAGGAGGCCTCAGAAACTAGAAATGGGGGACAGGAGGATGTTTTTTTTGGACACCAGAGACATGAGTGGCCGCCAGCAGGGAGTGCATGAGGACTGGTGCCATGTGGGACTGGGGTCGGGGCAACGAGCGCTCAGGACGGCGGCCGTTACACTAAGCCAACCTTCCATTAGCCAGGCTCTTCCTGGCATCTGAGTCATTGAACCTCACAATTTCCCTGCAAAGGCTGGTCTCCAGCCACACCTGTAGGAGAGGAGGATTGGGGAGGAAGAGATGGAGGCAGGCAGCAAGGCCAGGCAAGCAGGGCCTTTCTGAGTCCCATCCTGCCATGGTCAGACTTCCTGCAATAGCCTACAGCACAAGATTTAGGAAGCCAGAAATTGTCGAGCAGAGCCAGACTGGTGTGTGAATGCTGGGCCCTTGCTGATGGCTCCATTAAGCAGACTGGGAGCACCAGAGCCCATGACTTGATGCCACTTACCACAAGTCACACCCAGAGCTGTCCCTGTGGAAGGTGACCCAGGGTGTGGCAAATGCAGAGGGGGAGGGTCCCTGATGAACAGATCCAGGCTGCATAGCCCCAAGGCCAACAGTACTTAGGGAATACCACCTGGAGAGGGCCAAGGCTGCTGGGATGGGCACGGGCTGGCAGAGTGCAGGTCACTGCCCATCTGGCAGTGACTGTGCAAGCTGGGAGGCAGAGGGCCCAGCATTCAGCCTGGGGCTTCTGCTGGCACAAGATGCAGCAGTGGAGAGCGAAGACTTCCTCAGCACTGAAAGGGGACAGCTGTGCAGATGAGGCAGGGGTCCAGGCCCCTTCCTTTGATACAAAGTCTGCCAAGAGCAGCCATTTTCTACTGGGTTGACTTTGTCCTCATCTAGTTATGTTGAGGTGAAGAGGTGAAACTTGCATCCACAGGGTAGGAACAGGGAGGCTGGACAAGTTAGAAGGCATAGCATGAACCCCAACAGATAATCTGGCCCTAAACTCAATTATACTGAGGCTGAGATGCCCTGAAGGAATCCTACAATTCCAGCGGCAGCAGGCCTGTCCCTGACACCTGCCCTGATCTCTCTCATGCACCACCCCAGTGGAGTCTCTCTGGGCCTTATGCATCCCATTTTGCTAGGGGTGGTTGGGGGAGGCAACAAACAAACTTCCTGGGGGAGCATTTAGCCTAGGTTAAAAAAAAAAAGACTTCAGAGGGTGGCAACAGCAGGTTAATTTGACAAGGCAGCCATTGCTGGTCTTGCAGTAGAGAGCAAAGTAATGCCCTGGTCATAGGGACCCTTGTGAGGGGTAGGCCTAAAACTATGTCTCACATCTACTGTCCACCTGATGCCCACAGCAAACCCAGGAGCTGGGAACAGGGTTGAGGTCAATGGCAGCACCGGGCAGGGGTGGGAGCAGAGCCCAGTTCTGAAAGGGGTGCTCATGTGAAATGCGACTTGAGTCACGAACATGCAGGGCCAATAGCTGGTCTTGGACCCAAAATGCTAGTCTGTGGACTAAGCCATGAAGCACTCTGTTTGGGTGAGGCACCTGGATAGAAGGAACCAGGATGTTCTACCTGCTGACCTGACGTATCTGCATCTGAAGCATCAGCCCAGTGATGGCTGACCCTGACTACTTCCCGCTTGCACCCACTGGCCATGCAGAGGCTGCCTCATCAGCTGCGCAGACCCAAACCCTGGCCTCTTCCTGCAGGACACCTCTGAACAGAGGTGCCAGGCTCCGAGGTCAGGACCTTCGCTGAACTCACTTTTGCAGTCATTACTTTCAGCTCCTCCTGTCCTATCCTCCTACACTAACATACATTGTGATGACTGACACCTCTCATCCAATACATTCATTGTGCATCATGTTATGGAGCTTAGGGGTCTGGAATGCTGGTGCACCTGCTTATTAAATTCATGGCCTCGGGTGAGTGACTCAAGTCTGTACTTCGGTACCCTCAGTAAATGCCAGCCAGCCAGAGAATCAATGCATGGAATAAACAGGTTGAAATACACACATCAGGGATGGGGTGCTTTGCTAAGTAACCAATGATTGTCCCTGTCCCTGATCCTGAGGACACTAATGGCCCTTTAGGTCCTCCTGCAACTGCCTTGAAGATGGGCTGCATGTTAGTTTCATAGCCTGTTCTGGGAAAGTATGGGTAGCAAAATGCTACCAGGTCAGAAAGCGGCATGCTAGCAGTATACTCTCCCTTCTTCCTACCTACCCCTGTCCTGGGCACCTGCAGGCTCAGATCCCACAGCCAGTGGAGAAGGTGCCAGTGAGCATCCAAGCTGGGCGAAGAGCTGTTATTTTCCTCTCCCCTTCCTGGGCCAGCCTGCTGCCTCACTCATGCCTCACAGCGTAAACATGCCAGCAGGCTAAACTGCCAGGGACACGGTGGAAGCACACAGGAAGACCCTTATCACTTATGCTCTCCCTCCCATCCCCTGCCTGCTCCTTAACTTGGGACAGAACTAGATAGGTGCACTGGCCTCCTGTCCACCTTTCACAGCTATTTTCCTAGAGAATCCAATAAAGAGGACACTTGTTAACCTGGTGACTTCCTGGGCTTCCCATGTGTGCAACAACAGGATTATACATTTCTCTCCCTTCTCACCCCAGGCATTAGGGTGCCAACATCAAGACAGGCGTAGATTAAACATTTTCTCCCAAGGTTAATGAGGGAGATGAGGCAGTGTGAGGGCTGCATGGGTTGGGGACTGGAGCTGGGAAGGGAGCCACCATCAAAACTGTAGGAATAGAGCAACCCCTTACATAGCAGTGTCCTGGCTCACACGTGCACAGGGAGTGGACAGTTGGAGCTAGGACTCACACTCCTGAGCCCAGCACCCTACGTTCCCCACACATATGGTCCCAGTCTTATTTCAGAATCTGTGTGGATCCCATCCCTAGATCATTAAGAGGAGGTAAATGAGCTGGGTCACATAGGCTGGAGGCTCATGTGTGGGGCAGAGCTGTGGATGGGGGATAAAGGGTGACAACCATCATTGCTATGCCACCACGGCCCAGTGTGGGGGTCTGTGGCACATGGGCCTCTGATCACATTTCTACCCCAATGCCCACACCCATGTGGCCTTTGCCTTGACATTAAGGCTGCCATTGGAAACTGTCCATGAAGGACATTGTCTCACCCCTTGTCAGGAGGAGGCTGAGCCACAATCTCATAGAGGAATCTCAGGGACAAATGTCTTCTCCCATGATGACACTTGTCTAAAAGAGCTCCCCAACCAGCCAGCATCCTGCCAGCTTCACCACCAGCAGGGTGTACGCAAGCTGGGCAAATTTTCCAAATCTCTCTCCATCATACCTTGGATGACCTTCTAAACAGTAACACCCGCCTCGCTGAACTCTTACATCACTTCCCTGGGATGGTCTTCAAGATGGAAAAGACAAATGCAGGGACTGAGGGTTTAATGGGCAATGCAAGGGGTTTACTTGGCAGGCCAGGAGGCAGGGGAAACAGAGAGGACACAGGTGGGGAAAGCAGAGGGGAGGGCAAAGCAGAGAGAACCCCACCAGTGCCTACTGCTGGCAGACACTGCGGGCAGGCAGACAGACAGGACTGGCAGCATATGTAGGAAGGCAGAGGGGACAGTGAAAGAAGGGGGCACACCCATGTGGTTGTGTGGACTTGCACTAGTCTCAGGACACTGAGGAATGCATCCTGGAATGCACCTGCTGATGGGTTGTGTCTAACCCAGCACAGGCAGTCTGTGGCAGTGAACCGGCAGATCTTCCCATCTCAGGCATTCTTCTGGGCCATGACATTGACACTGCAAAGCACACACCTAGATGCTGTTCTCTGCTCCGCAGAAAGGGGGAGCAGCTGAACACTTTCTTTTGGAAAAGAACCCTTCGCTAGCCTGCTGACCCCTACTGATAACTCTGAGTGGCCTGCAGACAACACCTGTGCGCTCCTCTTTCTGACAAGACAGGACAAGACAGCTGGGATGGCCACGACTGTTCCGCAGGCTAACAAAGGTCTGGCTGCCTTTCTCCAGGGCCAGGGCACTGAAGTTCCCTCTCTGAGGTCCCTCCCTCTTCCTTAGCTTCAAGTCCCAGCTGCATCACTTCCAACCCAGCTCCCTGCTAACATGCCTGGGAAGGCAAGTACCCCTAACCCCCATCATCACTAACTTCTATCCCCAAGGAAGCAGGAAGACAACACTTGGCTGCTAGGATCCCCATGAGCACTGCCTAGACACAGACCTGGAAGGAGAGATGCGTGTCACCCATCACAGCATTTCACAGGATGCCACTTGAGCAACTACAGCTAAAGCAACAGCGACACCTATGCTTCCTTGCCTTTCTCCTGATCCACTTGGGCAGCTCCCTCCTCTGTCCTACTGGCACAGAGAGGCATTTCCTAGGAAGCCACAGCTAGCAAGTCATCACTGGGCAAGGTGAAGCCTCCAAGGCCAGCGCCCAGTGGTGGAGGAACTGCTGAAGGAAGTGCCAAGGTTAAAGATGATGCTATAGTGATCACTTGCTAAACGGGGCCGGAGGGGCAGAGGCTGGGGGACAGAAGGGACAATGGGGAGCTGGTCTCCAGCACAATGGTCTTGTCCTCCAGAGGGCATTTGACAACTTTGGGTGACTCTTTTGGTTGGAAAGGTTTGCTCCAGGTCATGATGGACAGAGGCTCAGTGCTGGGGGACAGCCTACAATATGTAGGTCTGCTCTGCAGCCAAGAACCACCCAGCCTCAAATATCCTTGGAACCAAGGATGAGGATCAGAGACAGGGTCTATTAACAGCTCTCTGGAGAGCAGGGGTGACAAGATCTGCAGAGATGGGGGGCAGGAGAGTGCTACAGGAGCTGGGTATGGGTGGGACCATGGAGGAGGTGGTCCTATGGGGAGGACAGGTGGGATACAGCAGGGCAGGGAAGAGGCTGAGGTCTAACAGATGCCCACAGCCATCAGAGCTGGGAAATCCCAGGTGAGTTTGCCTGAGAGTGGGTGTCCAGGTGGGCAAAGTGACCACAATCCAGGGACCATGTTGTTCCTTAGGGTAATGTGTGGCTTTGTCACCGCAGGAAAAGAGCCCACCTTCTGACCCCTGTCTGTCTTCTCTCTCCACCCTCTCATGCCCTGGCTCTGGCCTAAGGCATGTCAGAGGCTGCATCCTGAGCTCTGTGCCAGGCCTTGGCACAGCTAGATTTCCCGAGCTGCCCTTCCCCCTTCTGACCTGGCCTATTCCCACTCAGCTCTCAGGGTACAGTTCATTTCCAGGTCCTCTGGGAAAGCGCCCTGGTCTTTCCCAGGAGGAAAGCAACCTAGAGAAAGCTCTATCCAGGACTGAGAATGACACGGCCATGGCAACTTGCTCACTTGTGTCTGCCTCAGGCCTTGTGGGCCTGTAGCCTAGTGTTTTTCTCAGAATCTGTGAATCAATCAACAGAGGAGGGGCTGGTATGGGGGTGCAGCAGGTCAAGCTGCTACCTGAAATACTGGCATCCCACATGCACTGGTTCAAGTGCCAGCTGCATCACTTCCAGATAGCCCAAGTACTTGAGCCCCTGCTACCCACATAGAGGACCTGAATGGAGTTCCAGGTTCCTGGCTTGAGCCTGGCCAAGCCTCGGCAAAAGTGGGGAATGAACCAATGGCTCAATGGATGGAAGCGCTCTCATGTGGATATTCTAGAGAGTTCTTAACTCTCTAGAACTTTATCTTTCAAATAAATAAATCCTTTTTTTTTTAAGGGAGATTATCAAAACCAAAAGCATAGAGAAGATCTCCAAGAAAGTTTTCAGGGAGAAAGAAATGCAAACTAAGAACCTAGATGAACAGTGACAGTTCTTCAGAGGGCAAGGGTGAAGGCAAACAGTCAAGGAAAGAGACAGAAAAAAAAACAGGCCTGCGGGAGAATGGGGATCTGGGAGCCACAGGAGCTGGAGGTGGGAAGGCAGGGCACTGCACGGTGGAATGCTGGCAGCCAGCTAAGGGCTACCGAGGCTGAGATAGGCTGTGAGTGTCCATGACCTTGGCAAGAACAGTTCTAGCCTCAAACCAGAGAGCATGTGGTGAGGGGTGCAGTGGGAAGCGGGTCCTGCAGATGGATCCAGAAAGCACTGGAAGCTTCTCTGAGAGGTCATGTAAAAGCAGATGGCATGTGACCCGGCTGTCTCCTTGTGTGGCACATGGAGCCCGTTCCCAGCCCCAGCTACTTTACCTGGGACTTGGCTTTCTCGCCGGTGGACTTGCTGCAGGGACTCAGCTTCAGATTTGGGTTCTCTTGGTTGCTGGGCCTCTGTGATTCCAGGCACCTCTGCCTCTGTCGGATGCTGCCCTTTTGGATGGAGGAATCGTTGGGGATCCTGGAAGGAAAGGGTGGTGCTGTGTGAATGGAACGGTTATCTCCCAGAAATCGGCACCGCTGGATCTCTGCTGCCATGAAGGAGATGGCAAAGAGTTGAGAGGACAGGGTCTGCAAACTCAGGCCTGCAGATTAGGACCTTGGGCTCAGACCCCACAACTGAGAGACACTGCCCCCCACTGCCCCTCCTCTAATCCCCTGTGGTGTCAGGGATTTCTTCAACCCTTCTCCCTGTGCTGTCCCAGCATCAGCAAAGGCTCCAGCAGGTGCAGGTACCTGAGCTCTGGGTAGACATTCTCCAAGTACCACTTGAAGTTCTGGCACTGCAGGCTGTTCCTCAGCAACACTCGGTTCTGAATGCTGGGAGCGGCAGGGAGAGGCATGCGAAGATAGAAACAGGCTGTTAGAGGCCGGGGAGTGAGCAGTAGGCACAGCCTTGCCAGCAGCCTTGCCCCTGGGCAGGGAAACGGTCTAGGAGGAGAGCCGGCTCCAGACAGAGCTGTGGAAATGCTCAGCAAGACCTCACAGTGTGGCTGTGGCGCATAATGATATTGAGGGTTCAAAATGGAATCAGGGTTGAGGGGTAGGGAGGGGTTTACTTTTCATTAAGAATAAAGCAGCTAAAATACTTGGTGTGTTACTAATTTACCATAGGGGCTCTGGCTGCCTCCCTACAGCCTCTCTCTGCAGCTGTGAAACCATGCCCCCTGGCCCCAGCCTCTGGAGCTCTCTACATCAGTCTGCCAGGTCAAGGCCCTGGGTAGGATCTGCTCTCCAGATACCCCCCAGGCTCCTGGCACAAGTGGAGCCTCCCCTCCCCATCAGAGGCTGAGCTGCATAGCTTTCAGGTAATTCCGGCACCTGGAAACAAGAGGGGCGGGTGAGGGAGGGGGAGGAGGGCACAGAGGAGCAAAGTGAGATCAGCAGAGAGTGAGAGAAGTCCTGTGGGCAGAGCTGCACTTGGGTCCCAGAGTAGATGTGTTGGGGAGAAGAGTGGGAAGGAGGAGCAGACAATGAGGGGCAGGGTAGGTGGAGGTGCTGGGATGGAATGCAGGGGTTCAGGGGCAGCATGTGCACTTGAATTGCATCTCACTGTAGGTGCAGGGATGAGGGCATGGAACAGAGCTGGGGACAGGCTAAGCTGTTACACAGGGAAGGGGGTGAAAAGTGACCTCCACCTCCTGCCACTTGAGCCCACCCAATTGAACTGGCCCTGCCTCTCAGCTGCCCCTCTCATGCATGCCCCCTGGGCTGCTCTGTGCCACACACAGGGAACCAGCCACACCCTCTCCCCAAGGCCAGGGAGGAGGGTAGCCTGGGAAAGAGGATGAATGGTCAGCATTCAGGGAGCATGGGAAAGCAGTGTCAGGGGGACAAAGTGACTTGCTTGAATGGGGCCAGTAACAGAGATAGGAGTCAAAGTGGAGATCCATTTTCCAACCTGGCAACAGGGATGGGGAATGTGGGCTAAGAAGCAGGTTTAGGAGTGGACTTTGAGTTCTGGTTAGAACTTGTTGAGATGCAAGCACCCTAGAAGACATCCAGGTGGAGACGGCTAGCATATTCTTGCATTGTACACTCTCGGAGTTGAGAGGAGAGGTCCAGGTTAGAAACACACACACATATCCTGGCAGCACAGGAGCAGCCTCAAGTGCCAGGGAGGATGTGTGGTAAGAAGAGGGCTGGGGAAGAGGAAACGGAGCCCCCCAGGTGGGACCCTGAAGGTGGAACCTGGCAGTGGCTCACTAGCAGGGAACAGTAGAAGGGAGACATCACTTGTGCATGCAGATGGGGGCAGTCGGGGGTACCAGGGAGGCATCACTGCGTTCTGGGAAAAGTGCCGCAGGCAAGAGATGGGAGTGTAGGAGGCAGTGGAAGCACTTGGGGGGCAGTGTCCATAGGCTCTGCAAATGATAAGGAGAGGGGTCAGGATCTTTTACAAATTCCACAGCCCAGGCCGCTTCCCACACCAGGTCAGTGAGCTCCCTGGGGCAAAGGCAGAGGCAGCAGTAGCAGTGTGGATGCTCCACAGGAGATTCTACTATGCACACCAGGTGGGGAACCTTCTCAGACCAGCATCACCACCCCCTGGAGAGCTTGTTAGAATCCAGACCTCCAGAGTCCAAACCCGCCTTTGGACAGGGTCCCCAGGAGCTGAACTGTACATGGAAAGTTTGAGAGGCCCTGTGCCAGGAGGAGATGATGCTAGGTAGCAGGAATTCAATACATGTTGATTTATGAATGAGTGCAGGATGGAATGGTGTGGCTGGGATCCAGGCAGAGTGCTGGCCTGCTGCAGTGGCAATCATACCCTTTCCTTGGAGACAGAACCCCAGAAAGATGGCACAAACGCAATGGACGCCCCATGTTTGTCCTGAGAAGTTGATGTTGCCTATTTTCATCCAAAGTTGGGCTGGGTGGGAGGAGGGGAGACATCTAAGGATGAGTGTGGGAGGATGATGGCCAGGAAGTACAGCTGGGCCAGTTGGCACTCCACGGGCCTCGCTCAGACTGATGACCACATGTACTGCTTGCTGGTGGCACTCCCAGCTACTTGCAGCCCTGCTCAGCAGTCTCATGCAGGAGAAGAAGTGACAAAGTCAGGTTCATCCAGGGTGGGAAAATGTGGGGTGAGGTGGGGGCAGGGAGTCACTAGATGGTCAATGAGGCAGAGGATCTTCTGAGCTTTGCTTCTGAGGAACAGAGCAAACTCCAAGTTGGAGAAAGAAAGGGCTAAAGGTAGGCTAGGGCAGAGGACAGGCCTTGCCAGTGGACCAGAGGGATGAGAGCCAGTGGCCTTAGAGGGCTAGAGGGAAAGTGTGGTATTAGGATCTCCAAGGTGAAATTATTTTGATTTTTATTTAGTAGGATCAACTTGTGACCCACGGGGAATGCAAAACATTACAGCAAAATCTGCTCCACAGCCTTCGTGACTAGTGCTGAGACCAGTGTGAAAAGAAGACCCAAAAGCAACATAAATGACCAAGTAAATGTAAATCAAGCCTCTCGTTTTTAAAAAAGCTCCAGTCAGCTCTAGGACAGGGAGTGCCATGTCATCTAGTTTAGGAAACAAACTGGTACAATTTGAGCCTGCACCTGCCTCTTAAGGGTGGTGCAATCTGGGGCCAGGACCACCACCTGTATAAGCCTCAGCCTCCTGTATAATCATGCAGTGGGGACCAGTCTCATTTCTGCAATCTAAAAGGGCAAGTGATGCATGTCATGCAATGGTATCTTATTCTTAATACTCATGCCCCTCCCTGTCCTCTTTCCCTGGGCACACCTGAGCAGGGGGCATTGTGAGCAGGGGAAGTGGCTTCACCCAGAGGGGCCCCAGCTGCCTCTTCCGCAGCCCACCTTTGTACAAAGCCAGAAAGCTGAATCCTTTGTGCAAGGCACAGCTCAGTTCCCCTAAGGAACTCACGGCTCCAGCCTGTCAGAAAGCTCTGCCACAAAAGCGGTATGAAGCCCTGCAGACACAACTCGGCTGCAGCGCCAGGGGGCTCGGAAGGAGAGCCAGCAGTAGCTCAGGGCAGCAGCTGGGCTCCAGGCCTGTGGCCAGGATGCACCTGCCAGCCACCTGGCCTTGATCTTACTGGGAAGGGATACTCACCTGCCAAAGGGCCTCTCCAGGGCGAAGGGCCGGGCAGCATAATAGTATTGTTTGTACTCATCCATCCACACTTCTGCCGTCCGCTTGGTGTTTCTAGGGAGTCAGAATGTCAGGAAGCGGCCAGCTTACTCGTTAGCTCTCTCTCTCTCTCTCTCTCTCTCTCTCTCTCTCTCACTCACTCACACACACATGTATGTGGAGCCAGCATGAAAGCATCGGACCAGTGATGCAGCTGCTCCTGGGGCAGCCTAGCCCAACCTGTCCCAGGCGCACCTTGGTTTCCAAAAAATCTTTGTCCCCAAGACAGCACACGTTGAGGAGTAAGAACAGAAGGTACAGGTCAGAGAAATCATGCCAGAATGAAAATTCCTGGTTCCCAAAGAAACAGGAGAAAAGGTCCAGGAAAAGCAGGCAACCTATCTGCTGCCGGCAACCCTCAGTGCAAGGCACAGCCCCTAGCTCTGAGCCCTTGCTTCCGGCGCTCAAGTGGTTCAAGTCCTGGCTCCCCGAGCGGAAAATCAGCATACACGAGGTCTCCCCACAGGCCATGCAATTAGTTTGGCACAGGTGTACGGAATTAAGTAATCAAGCCGTTGCTTTCAGACCTCCAGCCAGGATGCTGGAATTGTTTTAATCAAGTGTTTGCTCAGAGTCTGACCCCAGAGACTTTTCCAGAAAGAGAGACAGACACTGTGGATGTCATCATGCAGCACTGGGGGGTGCTGGTGAGAGAGCCCTAGCGCCATGAGCACAGCCTTCAGAGAACAGGTAGGGGTTTGGGGGCCCAGGCAGCAGCAACGAGGCCTACAGAAATGAATGTGGGCTGGGGGTGCATCTAACTAAAATAAGGTGGTCTTCCAGATCCTAGCTCTGCATCTCAGAGGAAGTATTTGCTGCAGCAATGTGGTGAGCCCTGCCAAGTGAGCACCTGAAATGTCAGAGGTGCCCTGTGTGGGCAGGGGAAGCAGTTTACAGGGCCTCCCACTGGCCTAACAATCAACAAACTGGATACTGCTGAGTGGATGCTAAGCCACATTTCTCTACCCACCAAAGGGCCACCAGTGGCGAGCAGGATGCACGCTGGGTAGGGCTCAGTCTCCTGGATCCACGTCTGAAGCTCCAGGCTCTGCACCCACACTCCCCTCCCTCCCAGAGAAATCTTTGTGAAACCCACACTGCTTCGGGGGGGGGGGGGAGTAGTCCTGCCCTTGCCTCCCTGTGACTCCCTGCCCAGCCAATTTTCTCAGCTCCCCTGGCTTAGTCCACTGCGTATCTGCAGCAGGTGCTGTGGACTTGGCCATCGACTCCTCTGAGATGGCTGTGCCACGACATACGGCACACCTGTTTGTGTGCGTGTGGCCGACCCAGCAGGAAAGCAAAGGAGGACAAGGACACCCCCAAGGAAGAGTCCCTGCTTCCAGCAACAGGGGCACAGGGTTTCCCCCACACAAGTGGTAAAGGAAGAGTGAAGGGGGGATGAAGAAAACAGGTGAAGCTATCAGGGGAGAGGGAAGGAAGCTGGAGGAAAAGAAGTTAAAGGGCAGAAAAAAGCAGACCTCGATGACTGAGGAGAGAAAGCAGGGGAAGCAGAAGAGGGTGAGAAGAGTAGGGGCGGGGCGGGAGTAGGCGCAGTACTCCCTGGGTTGCTGAGCCAACGTATCTTAGTAGTGACAAGCCATCCTCCAGCCAGGAGGGGAAACCAGGCCCTCAGGTCCTGCCCTGGCCCGCACCCCTTCGCATCACTGGCCAGGTCCCTGAGCCCAATCTGCTTACACTTCCCCCATTTTTACATCTTCCCCCAGGACTGATTGCGTCACCCCATCTCTGCGGGGACCCAGCTTGAAGGCAGTGAGAACTTCTCAAACTGGGAGCAAAATGTGACCACTTCTCCCTGACTTTCACAACCCCCAAACCCTGGAGCCTGGCTCTGCACGATGGTGCTGATCAGTGGTTCAACACGGCCTTGGGCAATGTGGAACATGCTGAGGTTTTACGGGAGTACCAGGGAAATCTTGGTCCTAGTGCTGAATGCAGCAGCCTGACCCCAGCCCTGATGGAGCCCAGGGAGCAGATGGGCCACTCCTATCCAGCCAGGCATCTGGACAAATTCACAGAACCGCAGAGGTGGCTGGGAACCCCCTCAGCCATGGCCACTACCCTGCTGCTGCCCACACATGCCAACTTCTGGGTGCAAACTTACTTTATGTATGTGTTGGTGTTGCCATTAGGGAAAACGTATGGGTGCTTCTTCCGGAAGACGTGCCCCACTCGGCTGCACGGGATGATCTCCAGGCTGCCCCTGCACATCCACACTCGGAAGGAGATTTCTGCAAGACAACCACACCTCGCTTGTCACCTCCTATTCCTGCTCCACCTGTTTCAAGGAACCAGGTGCTAGGGAGTCCCCCAGCTCTCCGCACCCCCATTTCCCTGGCCACTCCAGGCCTAGAGTGCAGTGGCTAAAATTAGACTGCACAGCCAAAATATGAGTTCCACTGGCTGGGCAGCCTCACTGATTCCATCAGCAGATGGGAGCCAGTGCTAACACCTTGGAGAGTGGTGCAAGTTAATATGGAAACACCTCCGTGGCCAGCAGAGTGGAGATGGGGGGTGGACTGGGGAGAGGGAGTACACTGGGATGGTTTAACTTGGCAAACAGAAGCCTTGAGAGCAAGGAAAAGAGTTGCTATGAGCACATGGAAAGTTCCAGCATAGAAGATGGATTAGATTCATTCCCTGCATCGTCCCCAGAGGGTTAGAACCAGGACCGAGGAGAAAGGAATTCCATTCCATTTTCAAATCAGATGCAGGTCCTAATATCCAGGATAGGCTAGAAAACTACATGGCAAGGATGCAACTGAGGGGACTAAGCCTCAGAAGGCACCAGGACCAGGTGCCCCGAACGCATTGTCCTTGCCAAGACTGCAATCCAACTATGGGGTACTAGCCACCTGCCTGACAGCTGGAACAGGAAGAGGAAGAACAAGCAGGAACCAAAAGTCAAGAGGAGCTGCAGAAAAATGCTGGGAGCTCCTGAGCTGTTGGTGTGGGTGCTCCAGGGTGGGCATCTTGCACACACAGCATCACTCCCAACTAGTGGCTGCTGCAGGAACCTGAGAGATGGCTGGTAGGTGGAGCTGGCAGAGTCTGGTGTTTCACCCCCCCCTTGCCACTGGTCTCCAACAGCCTTAAAGCAGGGCTCCTGCCCTGAGTGAGGAGCCATGGCCAAGCACAGGGGACTGGGGCGTGATAGGCGGGGTGTAGGGGAGGGAAGTTTGTCATTGCCGTGGTGTAGAAACACCAGTGCCTGTTGCTGCTAAGTATCAGAACAAATGGCAGAACGTTTTATTATTGCTTTGCAATCCTCTACAGAGAATGCACTCCCTTGCCTGCATGCACCAGGAGCAGACCCTATCTCATACTCTCATCTTCCAATCTCTGGGTATCCCTGTCTGGTCCATGTTAGGTTAAGAAGTGTGAAGACAGACTAGCTCATGAAACCAAAAAGATCACAGGAGTGGCTGCCCCTGGGAGGGGCTTGTGGAGACAGGACAGGTGTCCACAGGCAGGTGAGGAAGACATGGGTATTCTAGGGCCTCCCACTCCCAGCTTGCCCTGTACCTTACAGCAAGCGCTGAGTTTCTCATTGGGGTCCTCCCTCCCAGGTACTGTCGATTCTATTTTCTGTTGTTCCTCTCCAAGACCCGAGCAGGTGCCTCAGCTCAAATCCTTCACAGTGATCCTCATTGCTCCCACTCACTGGTCCTCAACCACACTGCCTCCTTGTCCCCCATCTCTTGCCACATCTGCTCGCAAAGATCACCCTGAGTTCCTTCACCCTGACCTCACTCCATCACTCGTGGGCACTTGGGCCCTCAGCCTGCTGCAGCTCTGTCTCAGAAGGCTCATACTTCCCTCAGGGTTGGGGCATCACAGATTGAGGCAACAAGAAAGGACATCTCATCATGGCAACAAAATGATGGTAAGAACATGAGGGGAAGAAGAAATGGTAAGAGCTTGGCTTTGGGCTTAGCGAGCTGGAATCCGCAGTGACCTATTTGCTCGGCATCCCTGGAAACCTGTTTCAGCTCGCTGTCAGATCAGAAAAACACTCTACAGGACTGCTGGCGGCGCCAAGTGAAACAGACTTTAGAGAAAGGCTGGATGGAAAAGGGAAGACTGGCGGTGGGCACAGAGACATGCTCTAAAGCCAGTCTCTAAACCACAGAGCCAGGGTCCATCCCTCCACCTGGGCCCTGTACACCTGTGGGAAGGGCCCACAGTTCCCTTCCCCCTGACCTCTACTGCACCTCAGACCCATGGTGTGGAGCTAGTGGGCACGTGGCTGGGGTACTGTTCGAGTCCTGTCCGCCCTCACCACCCCCCGTCTGGTGTTTGCATGAGTCACTGAGCATGGCATTGCTTGGCCAACTGCCCCACACCTGCCCCACACCTGCCTCCCTCCCTGCAGAGAGCACCTGGGAGAAGTCTAAGGGGTTGGTTTGTGGGGCTGTGTCATTGCGTGTGTGAATTCAATTTGGGATGTCCTAGCCAGTCAGCCTTCTCCAGAGACTGCAAACAAGATGTGCTCCAGAACCCAAAAAGGAACATGCACGCTCTCATCTCTCAACGCTGGAGACGGAGGCCTCACTTCCCAGATAGAACCTGCACACTGTGTGCCAGCTTTCTTCTAAAGTTAGGCCTGTGTTTCAGCAACAGTCTCTTCCACGTATTCAAATGAGACATATGTCCCTGCTCATTTGCAAGGCAAATTCTCCCAGCCTGGGCCCCCACCTACTACCCCAGGTCCTGTACACTATTCCTCCCCCTGTGCTCCTAGACCCAGCAGTTTGTTTCTGTCTGAGTCCACTGACCTCTCACCTCTGCCACAGTCACAGGCAAGCCCTCCATTTGCATGGCACTGTCGCCTGGCCTTGGTCTGCCTTCACCCTCCTTTAGATCACCTGGCATCCATCTCCAGCTTCACCCTGGGGTGGTTCAGAACGCTGATTCCTCCTCTGACCTTCCTCGATGCTAAGGACTTGCCTCCACCCACCAACTCCAGACACCAATGCACCCTACAAAAACCTCGCATCCCTTTCTGTTTCTCCCCTGCAGCTCTACTGCCTCTTCTCCACTGAACTGAGCCTCCTCCTCTTTCTGTGTCTCACTTTAGAACCGGTGAGTGTTATTAGAGTGCAGAAGCGGCTCTGATAGGACCACTTACAGCTAGTAGCAGGGAACCCACACGCATTTCCCCAACCCCAAAAGCCACTCTCTTGCTCTGACTTCATCCTGCCTCAACAGCCAACCTCTCCCACTGGCCAGTGGAGCTACAAGCACAAAGATATAGACTTCAAGGCATTCACAGATGAACAAGAGGGACAAGCATTAACCAGCTGTCACATTTCTACTTTGTTGACTCACTCACCCAATCCTGAAAAACATCTGTCTCAGTTCTCCTGCAAGCCACCTGCTGCCACCCAAAGGCACCTGCAGCTTGGGATGAGCTGGGAGGCTCCCTACTCTGGGATCCAGATGTTGATCTGGAGGTTAGAGAGGTGCCAAGTTTGATAATGACGGCTACAATTAGTGTGAAGATTTGCAAGTGCTAAAACCCAGGACACACAGTCACCCTCCTTAACTACATCATACAGTATGTCCTTCTAGGTCTGTGAGCTGGGCCTAAAGCTTACATTTAAGATTTCTTGGGATCTTGAGGCCCATGCGAAATGGGCTGTTACAAGACAGGGAGGTGTGGGGCAGTGAGCCTCCCCTGCTCTCCAAGGCTGTAGGCTCTACCCAGCCATCACCTCTTCAGAAAAGGAGAACAGAGCTGAAGATCCTGGATGGGCATCCTTCGGCAAGGGGTTCCTGCTGAGTCAGGAACACACTCTCCCTGGGAACAGACATCATCCACGCTTAAAGCCACTCTGAGTTAGTTCCAGGCAAGGAGTCAGGATGCCCATCAGGTGCACTGCAATCCTCTTGCTTTCTTCAGATTTCTGATCAACATTTGAGAGTACACACCCCTCCAGGCATCCATGCCCAGCTCTTTCTTTCCTTCTATGTCTGCATTGGTCCATCAGTGGCACGCACCAGCCCTCTCAGAGTCCCTGCCCTTCATCAGATATGGCCAGACCTGCCAGGGTTGGGGATGAGCAATTTGGGCCTGGGGTCAGCTTTCTCCCCAGTAGGTGAACCACAGCTACCATTTTACTGCTGCTTATCCCTACTGGCCTAGGCTCTAGCCTAGCCACATCATAACCTGGTTCCTAAACAAAGGCAAGGGGTCCCATTCCACATGGGGGCCACACCAGGAGCCACCTAAGATGAGACTTCAAAAAGTTCCTTTAAAAATGGATTAAAACCTAAGTTTATTTGGGGACAAAAGAATATATTGACACCCATGTACAGTTTTTTTCTTAAGATGCATCTTCCATGAACTTTCTGAACTCCCTCTTACCTGGGCGATGGTGTGTGCACTGTATATGTGACAGTGGTATTCACTCTACCTTGGCCAAGTTTAAAGCTACTGAGAACAAAGTGTAGAGAGGACAGCAGTAGGCCAACAAGGTCATAGACGCTTGCTCTCCTGGCTGCCATCATTCCTAAGTCGTCCATGTGCCTGCGCAACTGGGATTTACCCTTTCTGTCATTATTCTTCAGTCAGTACATAAATCTGAGTCACTTCATTGGCCTTGAAATGGTTTCAAGCCATTTCACCAGCATTTAGGACAGCCAAGGCTATATGAAGGTCCTACTTCCAGATACGCATTAACCACAGGCCCAGTGTGGGCACCAATGGCCATGGAACCACAAATGCAAGGTGATATTCATCAGTTCAGATTTCTGTTGAAAAAGGAACAGCTCATGTCCAGCAGCACTCAGCCAACTCAGGGTGTTCAGGAGCAGCTGGGAAGGATGGCCTCGAGGTTCTCTTGCCTGGGCTTGGAGTTTAGCAAAGCTAAATCCCAAACCAGAATGAGAGCAGTGGGCTGCTCCAGCTTCCCCTCTTCCACTCAAGGGAAGGATGACTTGTCAGCTGACTTGGATGTGTTTTTAGGATGGGGCCATTTCCCTAACACCAAGCCACCCAGCATGGAAGGGCTGAAGGCAGAGTAAGAAAGCATTGGGGATACATTTCCAGCCAGTCAGACGCAACTGTTCTTGTATAAACGCTGCCCACATATTGCTCAAAGGGGAAGGCAGCCGACTCTGCTAGGGTAGAGGCACCTGTGTCATTGAATTCCTCTTCACAACTGTCCTGTGACATGAGTGTGAACACAACAGTTTTCTATTGCTGGAGCATGAAGCACCACAGATT